TGTAGTGCTACATGGGGTTGTTGTGACCCAAGTGCAGGACCCGGCACTTGGCCTTGTTGAACCTCGTACCATTGGCCTCAGCCCATCAATCCAGCCTGGCCAGATCCCTCTGCAGAGCCATCCTACCCTCAAGCAGATCAACACACCCGCCTAGCTTAGTGTCATCTGCGAACTTGAGGGTGCATTCGATCCCCTCATCCAGATGATTGATAAAGATATTAAAGAGAACTGGCCCCAGCACTGAGCCCTCGGGAACACCACTTGTGACCAGACACCAACTGAATTTAACTCCATTTACCACCACTCTCTGGGCACAACCATCCCGCCAATTTTTTACCCAGCAGAATATACCTGTCCAGGCCACAAGCAGCCAGTTCTGGTGGGTGATGCGGGTAAAGGCTTTTCCAGAAGCATTTAGACTGTTTTGTGAAATAAGTAGCTGGCCTTAAAATTTTGCAGCTGCTGGGCAAAAAGAGAGATTGTGTGAAGAACAATTGAGACTTGAGTGGCCAGAAAAAGAGAACAGATGTCCACGGGGCAAATCCCAGGGTATAGAGAAAATTGTTGCTCATGTCAGCATTCCACCTCATTCGGAGAGAATGTTCAAATCTCTTATTTCTGACTGTCTTCTGCCCCCTTTTACTTGCAAGCCTCTCCACACTTCTTTGCTACATCCTTTTTATAGTAAGGAATTACTGTTCCTTCCTTGTTTTCTGTGAACTCTTGGAAAGCACTAGAGAAATGTGAGGACAGCTATTTTTCTCTCAGTTGACTTGCAGACTCACATGTGGCAGAACTAGCTTAAGGAAAGCACTGCTATGAATGACTGACCTTCTCCAAATAAAAGGGGTTTCACAACTAAGGCATGTCTTCCTGGCCTGCTCTTGGGCCTGTTGGAGCAGATATTACCGAGCAAGCTTGAAAGCTCTTCTGTTACCCCCCATGGCTTGTTAGTTTCTTTCCAATGGGAAATGAACCAGTTTTCCTCCTGCTCTAACTGCTGGAGCTCCTGGGAGCTCGTTTCCATCCTACTCCTGTCCCAAGAGAGGGCTTTGCATATTCTACTAGTAGTAGTTGCTGGAAGAGCAAAGCACCAAGGTTCAGGGGATGTAGGTGAAGGAGCAGTTAGAGAGCAAGTGCTAGCAAGCTCAGCTTTCCTCTGTTCATCCTGCTTGGTGTATGATAGTTGCATCAATTGCTTTGTGCTTTGTCCCAGTTTTCCTGCTCTAGGAGTTTTCCAGATAATGGCGAAGATGGTGAGAAGAACGTGTGCGTTTTGTTCAGAAGGGGAGGCTGGTTCTGTGATGTACATTGCCAAAGAGCGAAATATTGCAGCTCATCAGGATTGTCTGGTGAGTGGCTTTTAGTTGGTCAGTACCTAAGAGGAATAGAGAAGAAGTGTGAGCTAAAGGGGAGTTTTTCACTGCTTGTCTATTTTTGACTTTACAATGGTGTCTGAATTAAAAGGTTGGTTACCCAAACCAGCAAGCTTATATTAGATTGAACAGCTATGAAAAGCAACAGGGCTTGGCTAGAATTTTGGAGATGGGGAGTACACGGCTGCACAGCTGGACACGTTGCTTTGTGGTGTTTTCACTCATGTCTGTTCCTGATCAATAGTTCTAGACACACATACAGTCTAGCAGTAGGAATAGGTCTTCTGGAGATGCTAAATTGAATGAGGCTTCTCAGACCTCAGAAAGTTGTGTACTTACTTAAACCTTTGCATGAAAATATTCACACCACTTGATATATCAAAGTAAAAAACTTCCAAGTCTGTGCCTTATGTAAAATAAGGAACAAAACTATCAGAAGTTGATTATGTAAAAATATCTGTGAAGCTCTAAGCATGCTGTGATCCTAGAATGTACTTACTTTTTTTGCTGTCAAAATGCCTCCCCTTTATTTCGGGATCTTAGTGGAGCTGGTTCTTGGTGTGCAGAATCAATTACAGATGCCATATTCTCCCTTGAGTGAGGGTCGCTTAGTACAGGAGGGGCATCTGCTGCTGGAACAGCTTTCTGGCTGTCACTGTTCCAGCCTTCTTATTCTCACAGGTTTTATGTTTACATCTTTTGGTTTTCTACTACTTTTTTTTTTTTTTCTTTCAGCAGAATGTTTTAGAAACATCTGATATCTATTTTACAATGTTACTTGGATGTTTTGTTTCAAACAGGTTTTGTTAGGGCTATAATGTTGCTGTGGTGTTGAAACACTCACTCTCTTTTTTTTTTCCACCAGTAACTTCGCTAATTTCTCTGCCTTAGGCTTCTCTGCACTGTTTGGGTTTTTTGCAGTTAGCTGTCACCTTCTGATCAGACAGACTGTGCCTGCAAGTTGATGTAAGGGTAGCTCACTTTTGTTTGGAATTAGCTATCTATAACAATTAGAAAAAAGTTGCTAAGAACTTCCCCTTCCTCACTTATGGTCATGGCTCAGCACTTCTATGGGAATTAAAGCGACCCAAATGTGCATGTATGCATTTTTTTGTGGGTTTCTCCCAGGCTTTGTACAATGTTCCTATATTTCTCATGTAGTTAACTGATGTCAGCATTGGACAGTGTGGAATTTTTTTTTACAGAGAAATGTTGCATCCCGCTGTAAGGCTAAACAACTGGACAGATAACAAGATGTTCAAGGTGTGGAGGTCTGTCAGCCAAAGAGCTGCTCTTCCTTACCCTGGGCAGCCTGGACTTCCAGACTTTCTTCATTCACACTTCTTACTAAGTTTACTTTATCACCTTGTTGTCTTTTCTTAGTTCACATGAAATCTTCTGTATAGACAGAGGAACTTCTTTTGACTGGGAAAAGGTTTAAGCACAGCTCCTTGTTCAATGTAGGTGAAATCTCTTATAACACAGAGAACCAGTCTTCTTAGGGCAAGCACAGGGAGAAAAGATGTGCCCTTTCTCTCTTTTCTGCACTCGTGACTGAGTCCCTCTAGTAATTGTTAATATCATCTCTCTTGTCTTTAGTTATTTTCCTCAGGATTTGTGGAATCTGAAGAGTATAACCCAGAAAATCTGGATATAAGATTTGATGTGGCATCAGTGTTGAAAGAACTCAGGAGAGGAAAGCGGCTGGTAAGGAGTTTCTTTCTGAATCTGCACTTAGTCCCGTCTCACCGTACTGAAGGTTGTCTGGCCTGTTTCATGCTTGAAAAAAATGCAGAAAAGTACTTGGTCCTTCTCTTCTACTAAGATTAGGGAAATTACAGATTTAGAGTTAGAAACATTGTTTTGACATTATATTTAGTGAAAATTAGTTATTTTTATATTAAAATGTATTGGTTTTCTGGCCTTCCCCCCTGCCCAAGAGAAAAGACTAAGAGACTAAGTTCTTAGTCTAAGTTTCATAACAAAGTTTGGTAAAGGAATAAGCCAGTGCCTAAAACAAAATTATGCAATCCATAAGTGTAAAGGAGAACACCTTCTAGTTTTACCAGAAGGAAGGTTATTTATATGAGGTTTTTCTTATTGGCTTTGTCCTCAGCTGTCCTCCTCCCTTACATCCTGGGTGGAACTCTTTCCGCTACGAAGTTAGCCTAGAAAACATAAATACAAGGACTAATGCCAACAGCTATTGAAATAACCTGAGCAAGATTTAGGGGAGGGGGGGAAGTTGCCCAGTGACCATACACAGCTCTTCGCATTGTTTTTTAAATTCATCAGTATGAAATAGAGGTAAAACAGCAAAAAGGTAGCTGAAATAATGACCAGGGTAGGAGTTTGCAGGAGTGAACTTGCCTGATGAGTCATACAGAGGGAACTTACAGTGAAAGATTTGATTTTTCCCACAGAGCATAGTATTTGCCTTGTATGGCAGATTTTGAGTAGCTGTCTTTAATACTTACCTGCTAAACCTCATCCTGTTCTAGGTGTGCAACTTCTGTCGCAAGAAAGGAGCCACTGTGGGATGCGAGGAAAGAGCCTGTCGCAGAAGTTATCACTACTTCTGTGCGCTCTGCGATGATGCAGCAATAGAAACGGATGAAGTAAATGGAGTCTACCGGTATTTAACCAAGTATTTTCTAACTAATTGTTGTCCAGGTTTTGGTGGTGGTGTTAGGAAGAGAGACTTCAAAATTGTGTAGTTTTAAAATTTTTTAAAAGGAAATATGTTCTCTTCTCTTGAAGTGTTGCCTGATCCTCGGTTTACAAGCAGTAGAGGAAATGTTTTCCTTTCACAGGAAGACATCACAGCAGTAGGAAGGAATCAATTCAGTGTCTGAGCCTGCAACACACCTGAAAGACCACTAGGCCAAAACTGAGGAAGTCTGTCCTTACTGGCTATCTAGCTAGTCGTCAAGGACCAAGATTTTTATGAATGTCACTCAAATTCTCTATTTCTCTTGGTTCAGAAGCTTCAGTAAATGTGGTCTGAGCACAGAGCAGGCTATAGCACTTCTGGATCTGTTCATGTTAGGCAAATACTGGTAATTTTCCATCATATGCTGCAGAGGACTTTGTATTCCTACCAAACACCTTCTATATATTTCAAGTACGTTGCTAGCATTAATACAATTAAACAGACTTTAAGTAAATTTTCTGTCCTGGTCATGCTACTCCTGTGGTCCGCTGCCCTCGGGCTGCCTGCGTTGATGTTAGATGGAACAAGTTGTTTGGAGAATGCAGATGAAGGGGTTGAGAAATTGGGACTTTAGGGACCTTTAGGAGTGCTGAGGTTATAGTAAAGTCTGAGGTGCATAAAACCCCTATAACCATTTCTGTGCAAGGCCAGAGAGATCACAGGCCATGTTAGTCTTTAAATTAATCTGGTAGACCATCTAATCACTACTTGTTTCAGGAAGAGGTAGAGTAATGCAGTCCTTAGTAGCAGTGGAAGATGGATCCTTTTGTGTCAAGACACTTACACTCCTGGCTGCTTCAGTACGGCTCTCAGTCTAAAATAAATACGTCTTTCTGGAAGTCTGCAAGCCCAGCTGTATAGGGAAGATGATATGTTTAGTTTATGCTTATAAAGTCTTCAGAATTCTACAAAGCTCGTGAAAGAGTGTAGCTGGGAAAATGGAAACTTTCCATGATCACAGAATAAATGGCTCTCATCACAGAGCTTTAGAAAGGATACCTCAGGCTGAAGACAAGAAAAATGAATGGGACTGATAATGGTCTAGATACAAACTGGTAAAGAAATGGTTGAATATATAGTTTGATTTGGTGGTTTTCTGAGCTGGTGACCTTGGAGATTCGGAAGAGGGACCCTTAAAAAAGCCTTGTGACAAGCAACTAGTCACAGTGTGAGACTAGTTGCTTGTCCTATATAGAAAACTAGGCTATAGCAACCTCTACTGAAGATATAAAAAAGGACTGAGTTATCATAGAATAGAATCATAGAATCATTATGGTTGGAAGAGACCTTTAAGATCATCAAGTCCAACCATTAACCTAGCACTGCCAAGTTAGCACTACACCATGTCCCTAAGCACTACATCTACACGTCTTTTAAATACCTCCAGGGATGGCAACTCAACGACTTCCCTGGGCAGCTTGTGCTTTATAACCCTTTCAGTGAAGAAATTTTTCCTGATATCCAGTCTAAACCTCCCTGGTGCAACCTGAAGCCATTTCCTCTTGTCCTATCGCCTGTTACTTGGGAGACCAACCCCTACCTCGCTACAACCTTATTTCAGGTAGCTGTAGAGAGCGATAAGGTCTCCCCTGACCCTCCTTTTCTCCAGGCTAAACAACCCCAGTTCCCTCAGCCACTCCTCATAGCACTTGTTCTCCAAACCCCTCACCAGCTTTGTTGCCCATCTCTGGACACGCTCCAGCACCTCCATGTCTTTCTTGTAGTGAGGGGCCCAAAACTGAACACAGTATTTGAGGTGGGGCCCCACCAGTGCTTAGTACAGGGCAATGATCACTTCCCTAGTCCTGCTGGCCACACTATTCCTGATACAAGCCAGGGTGGTATTGGCCTTCTTGGCCACCTGGGCACACTGCTGGCTCATATTCAGCTGACTGTTAACCAATTAGAGAAACACGGTGAGGCAGGTTTCAGGGATTTGAACCCAAAGATTTTTGCTGAGTATCAGTGGCATAAATAAAGCACAAAATTTATAGCTAGCCTGACATTATTGGAGAGAAGGTGAACAAGACTTGAAAAACAGTGGATGTGGATTGACAGCCCCCTGTACTTTTTCATGGTGAAATATAACATGCTGAAAAGCACATCAAGAGAATTCCTGAGAGAGCGCACGCTGGTGGTTTTAAATTCTGAGTTGACATTGTTGTGATGATGAGCAGTGATTATCAAAACAAATAGAGCAGAACAAAAAAGAGAAGGCATACAGTGCTATGGAAGTGGCTAGTAAGAGTAGAAGTGGGGAAATAAGCATAATTTGTACTGTCATCTTGCAAAAATGATAGTATGGGAATGCTGGACTGAGTAGTAAAATGTATTATCTGTTCTTTATAAGATGTTTTTGTACTTAGAAAGGTTGTTTTTAACTGGGAAAGAGCAGAATTAAAGGGAGGGGAGGAAAAAAACAACCTCCAAAGGGAAATATTAGAAATTCTGGGATGTAAATAAGGTGCCTCCAGTACTTAGCTTTCTGATTGAATTGTTAGGCTTGCATAAATCCGGGGGTTTTGTGCATCAAAATGAATTTAATGCAAAAAAAACCTGGCTGGTCAAAGAAACAGACTGCATTTCTAAGGTCAGTGCTTCTATTTTGTTATAATAAAAGAATGACAATAATTAGAAAATGTCCTAGTAAATGCATTTCCCTTTAAAAATTGGTTCCAAACACTTGAGCGTTGATCTTGGCAAATAGATTTGTAATGAAGAGATCATCTAAACCACACTCTTGACAAGGCAATTTTGCTTAAAAAGTGATTTGGGATCCTTCTGTAAGAAAGGCATATTATAGAACCTGGTTCACATTCTTTACACATTATTGTGTCCAGAAGATAAGGAATATTTCCAGCTGTATTTGTTGCATTTTGCCTCTTCCAAGGAATTCATTTTGCTTTCATAGAACCAGAGAAAAGATTCCCATCTCACACATTACTACAGTCTTTAAGGCATGAATGGATTGAACAGCTTTAAGCTACTGGTTCTCAAACAGGGTGCCTTACTTCCTCAGGATTTGGGGACCACCTCATCAGCACTGGGCAGCAGAAAGGGAGGGGCACAGAGATCTCCAAGCGAGTAACTGGTACTGTGCATGGCAATGCAGTGCCGTGTGGCTGCGCCAGCACATCGTGCAAGGCTTGTAAGTTCAAGCTGACTGGTAAGCAGCTACATCTAAAGAGGTTCTAGACCTGGCCTGAATGGTACAGGGCAAGGGGGCAGAACAGCAGTAGCTACAATCAAGCAATATTCATACTGTGGTGTTTCATCTTGACAGCATGAATCTCATTTTAATAAGGCGTTTCAATAAGAGTACCTCTGCCACAGTGTTTGGTTGCCACACCAGATGAAACGTGTCTGACTCAGGATTTGAACTGTGAGCAAGTCCAAACAGAGCGGGGTAATGGAACTGATAATTCAAAGCTTCAGTGTTCAGAGTCCACTGAGGCTCTAAAAGTACAAATACAAGCTTGTGCATGTATGCAATTTTACAGGAGTTGCTTTCCTAGGTGGGTAATGCTGAACAAAAATTCTGATAATTTTTTTAAGCGTCTTTCAGTTTATGTTCAATTAAAAGAGGGGAAAATATCTGTTAAAATCAGTCAGCATAACTCTGTTTACGTATTTATTAATACTTTTTCTCTTTTTCTTAAAATTGAACTTAAATTTTAGAGTGTTCTGCCCAAAACATGACCCAGGCAATAGGACCAATCACTATGGTGAGTTGCTTTAATGGCTTCGTTGATTTCATTTGTTTTAAAAGTTTGCATCCTACAGTCAATAACTCATTTGAACAAAATAAATGTTACTCCACCTTTATAATTGAGCGGTGGATTTCTAATCTTGCAGGAGTGGTTTGGTTGAGATCCATGCATATACACAAAAATTGAGAAGGTTTTTTGAAGTTGGCAATGTTTATATATAATCTTCCCCGAATCTCCCTCAAAACTGACTTAAAACACTGTGGACCTGATCCTTCATGGAATTATTCTGACTCTGTGTGGGCAGGTAGGCCGAAGCAGCTTGTGAAATCCATGTGAGAGATGAAAGCCACGCTAACGAGTGATGCACAAGCTTGCACTTGATTAGCAAAGAGAGGGCTGTTACAAGAGTGGTCACCTTGGGATTTTCACCTGTAGTTACATTAAAACAACGTTTGCATCTTCTGTATTCACTGCAGTAGTTTTTTAAATAGGGCCTTTCATTCTGAAGGATCCCAAAGACCTTTTTAAGTGTAACAAAAGTGTTGTACCACCCTTGTTTAAGGATTGCATCCTTTGCTACAGAAATGCAGCTTAATTTGGCAGTCCTGGTCCTTGCTGATTCACAGGTAGTCAGGAATCTCACTGAATTACCCAACCAAAGCTGTGGCTTTGTTAACCTGATGCATACAATCTTGCTCAAAACAGAGTGGGTCCTAGACTGGCCTTCACTTTGAAGTTAAGCTCACTCGAACTGTGAGTACTAATGCTGAGTGGTGTGCTGCCACTGAAGTGTAGCAAACTTTGGCTAATCTTCTTGATGAAGTCTCGCTCCACCCTGATGCCACTGAAGGAGTGGGTTGGGTGATTGTCATTTAAACTTTTAGTCATAAGGTCTGGGGCTTCTTAGCCAGACCTACAATCTGTTTAACACCTGATATTGCTGTGGTTCACTGACCAGATGCAGCTTCTTAGTTCATTTAGTGGTTTTGCTTATCCATAGTTTTGAGTCCTGATATTCCTTTCCTTTTTAAAATTAATTTGATTTCTGTCGTCTAATGGTTTTCAGTCTGTTGGGTCTGTCCAGGGTTCCAGGTGGTCTCCTGTCCAAGTACTAGACAGAGCCAGATTGCTTCATTTCCTTGAGATTAAGGCATTAGGCCCAGCCTTGTAGACCACCCCCTTCATAAGGAAGGCTTAAATCTTATGAGGTTGAAAGTCTTGGTGTCTTCAAGTGCTGCATATACAATGTATAGCCTGTTCCCTGAGAAGAGAGTTTTCTCCTAGAGGAGATCTTCCAGAGACACTTAATTTGGAGACTCTGTTTATGAGGGGTAAATGGATTCTGCTGGCAGTGTCTGCCCTGCTTCCTGAATGAAGTTCTCCCACCTGTGTCTGAGAGAGCAGCTGGACCCCAGGAGGTGGGGAGCAGCTGTGAGAGTTGGGTAAATGATATTTGGTTCCCCAAGCACAGTGTCTCCTGCCTCTGAGCAGCTCTCAGATGCATGCGTGGGCAGGGATATTTGCTGGTGAGTTGGCTGCCAGTTGCCATCTGGGCAGGCAGGGGGCACCTGTGCTGAGTGTGTTTGCAGGTCTGCACAGGGTGGGGAGTGAGACAGGCTGGGATGGAAGTGCTGTGGTTCCATGGTAGTGTTCTGACTTTCAGGATCCAACCCAGGTGAAGTAGCTCAGCTGTTCCTCTGCACTGGGCTGTGTGGGAGCAGGAGCTGATACAAAAGGGCTCCCTCTCCAGGCTTGTTTTCTCCAGTAGCTTGGAGAAAATGGGGTCAAGGAACATCCCCTTGTTCTTGGTCCAGACAGCATTCCTGTGCTGAAATGTCAGGGCCCTGCTGTGTGATTGGAAGGAGACAGAGTGCCGTAGGAGCCAAGAGGTCTCCTTGCAGCTCCGTACAGCAGGCATGGGAGGGCACTTTGGACTTGGAAACAGCCTCCAACCTCAGCTTAATTAGAAATGTTGGATGTACCCAGAGTAAAGGCTGACAAATGTAGGAGAACAGAGAACACTGTGGGGAGCAGGAAGAGTTGGGCTGCTCTTCAGACTGTGTTCTTCTTGTTTTATAAGGCATCCCTTAAGCAAACATCAGGAAGAGCTGAGAAAATCCTACCACAAATCAAAGATGTCCTGCGAGACAGCAACAAATCATGCCTACACCAGCATCTCCTAGACTGTTCCAAATTAGGCCACCCAGCTTTATTTTGGATGAAGTGAGAGGCTATGATTTCCTTTCAGGCCATGAAAAATACAAATGTACAGCACCATACTCAAAGAACGGTACCCAAAACGCAAACTCGTTTCAATAGCCTTCCTGTACCAACAGTAACTCCTCATTCCTCTTAATAGGATGATTTCTAATAGGAAAAACCTTACTAAATGCTGCCCAAAGGATATAGAGTTAAATGGGAAGGGGGCATATAACCCCACTGCATTTAAAACCCTCGGGTTTTGGTGGGTGGTTGAACTGTTCTCTAGCTTTCTCTGCTCTTGCCATGTCTTCCCTGGCAGAGTTATCCTTCTCTCTTTGTGATGCTGTAGCTGTTTTCAGCAACTGCTAGTTATGATGTTGGGGAGAGGCTGATGCATGCTGATAGGACAGAGGAAGGCAGATGATTTTGCAGAAATCTCATACCACGTCACTAAAAACACTTTGTAGCGTAAACAATATTAATCTTGCAAGTCAAATTGCTTCTGGCCAATTTTCTAGGAGATTGTTATGTCGATGAAAAACATCATGCTGTTTGTATGTCTTTGGGACACCTAAAATAATTCTTTATGAAGTCTTAGTTTTGAGGGTGTATTAACATAAACAAGAATTAAACGAAAAAAACCCATTCATCTTCCATAAATTTGCCTGAAGTTTTTATCACTTAGAGGTAGTGCTGCTGCTGGGGAGAATTACGTTCACTCTGCCACAATCAAAAATCTTATGTTAAAAACTGGGGTTTGCAAAGTGATATTCTAGTGCTATGGTGATTAGCACTTCTTCCTAATGGTTCAGGCTTGTAATTTTTCTTACATAGAAATAATGTGAATTCCACTGAAATGTCAGGTATTTGGGAAGCTGAAATATATCCTTGCCTTGCTGCCCAAAGTGCCTCACTTTTGTAGCTTTTGGGGGAAAGGGAGAATTTGATGTGCAATTGTCAGTCTGAGGCTGATACAATTGTTACTTTGTTGTTTCTTGATTCCTAGATGCAGCTAATAAGAGGAGAAGACATGCATTGAAACCTTCCACCATCACAGAACAAATGGTAATTCTGACTTTAAGTAGTTCTAAAACAGGAACCCACATCTGCTACGGCACAGGACTTCTTTAGTAGAGTATTTTGACAGTGTATTCAGAAAAAGAATTCCTCACAGAAGCAATAACTTTTCCTTTACAGCTGCCTTGCTTTGATCCTGTTATTCTGTCAAAACAAAACTGTTTGCATTTGGAGCTGCTTCAGGCAGAGCCAATGCTGCCCTTGGGTAACATGGCACAAATGCAGTAGGAACCTCCAAACCAGGCTGACTTGGTGGCTGTGATCTTGACGTGACCAGAAGGAGCTTCCCTTTGGGGGTTCCTTTTCTTTGGAACTACTACCGCCCTCAGATTTGCTTAGGGCTTGACACAGTTTCCATTAAAAACTGCTTTTGATGAGTCACTTGGCTTTTTAAACTAGCATGCACTTGTTTGTGAGCCTGTGCTTATGGTAAATGTGGCAGTTTCACTGCAGATCAGGCAGTTCTCGGCTCTGCCACTGAAGATGGCCTTCCCAAGGGTTTGGGAGCTATCAAGCAGAACATCCCTCTGGTTGCAGGGCGAGTTGTTTTAGAGGCTATTGTTAGAAAATACAGTTTATTTTAAGTTTTGGGGTGATTCTCTTAGCTCCACGGAAGTATGCATGGGAAGTCTCATTGACTCTTGAGGGGGTCAGGATTTCTCCTTTCTAGAGGAATTAGCATCCAGCTTTCCTTGGGAAAAGCTTCTGCCTTTCCCAGGTTTTGAGATTAAAGGGAGGTCATGCGAGGGTACGGGGACAATCTTTGCAGCTTTTATGTAGTACTCTCATAAGGGTAAGTTATTTGTCTCCAAGAATTTCTCAGCTGTAAATACATGTTCCTGGTATTATAACTGAGATTCATGTGACCTGTTACCCACGGTAATGTGTTCTTTCTGCTGCTCTCCAGTGCTAGCAATCTCAGAAATCAATACAAACAGTGCAAATAAGAAGCTGAGGGGCTTCAGGATTTATGACTGCAGGATAAATTGTGTAAGCGATGCATTTCTACACTGGTGGAGTTTGTGGCAGAGCTTAAGAGTTATTTGTAGTACTGTGGTATGATGTGGAACAGCAGAGAATGACTGCGTCCTGTCCAAAGGAAGAGAAAAATATTCCCCCTCTCCTCTCAAATCCTTTCTAGTATTAACCAGGTCTAGGGAACTAAACATCATTTGCACTGGGAGTTAGCAGTAGGCCTTTGTTAACATCTGTGCTATTTGCAAATGAAGTAATTAAGAAGGGTGGTGTTGCAGATGTTGGGCTTTTCGTAAAGAGTTTTTGTGTTGAAGCAATTTTTGCTTCTGTTCTTAAAAACTGAATGTCTGGAGAGGAATATCATTAGCTGTGCAGAGAAGCTGACTGTATTCATGGAAATACGGGCTGCTTTTTATCTTTCTGCTAATATAGGGGTAAGATAATGAAAACAAAGCAGTAAATGTCAGTATGATGTAAAAATATGTTGGTTTGATTTTCTTACAGAGCACAGAAGAGACGGCAGAAGAAAACAGTTTACGAATACTGAAAAGGAAAAACAACAGGCATAAAGGTGTGACTCACTTTATAGAACAACTAGGAGATACTGTGATCTGTTATGTTGAAGTTCAGAGCTTGGAGATGGTTGACAGCAGCGGTGCTGCAAATGTATCTTTATTATTCTCCTGAGATGAGTGACGCCATACACTGACAAGGGAGCGGAAGTCTGATTTGCAGAATGATTGTGCAGGTTTTAATAACTGTGCAGCAACCAAATGTCTGTGCTTTGGCCGAGACTCGCTGTGTGACATGAGGCGTTAAATTCACCTGGGATTTTTATAACGCCCGTGCTCTGGCTGGCTGCTGTGTTCAGCAGTGTGTCTCCAGCAAACAGGGGAGCCTCTGCCTGACCACCCCCTCCTCCATATCAGTACAATTACATTTAAAAGGGAATCGGTCCTCCTTCGCTTCGGTCTCCTTGTGCTGAGCCCCTCTGGAAAGAGAGGGGTGCAGGTGACACCCCTGGAATGGGTTAACAGAGGAGGTGCTGTGAGGAGGGGGTGTTGAGCAGTGACCCAGCAGTGAGAGAAGTTTAGCGTGCTGTGAACAGCAGCTCTAGCTCACTGGGTAGGAATGGGGCTCGCTAAATGCTGCTACAGTTACTGCTGCCACCGCATGCTTATCTTGCCTTTTGAACCCTCGGTGTATATAGGGTGCTTAACACAATATAGTACTTTACTGCATAAATATGCTATTACAATAGTGAAATCAACTACTGGACCGATCCTTCAGTGCTGCAATTTTCCTGTTACCCCAAAAGTCCTGCTGCAATTGCTTGTTGGGATTATGCTGTCGCTTGGAAGTTTGAACGGTGTTAGCGGGGATTATTCACCTTCCCATGGCTGTGTTTAGTACATGGGCATGGTGTTGTAACAGTAGGTGGCTGCCTAATGTGTTTTTTCTGATTTTTTACTACCATTATAAAGGACAGGGAACCTATGAAGAATCCTGGAATACTTGTAGGGCATCTAGTGTAAGTGAAACGACATTTATTCTCTCCCAGATGTCTCCAGTGAAAAGTAGCCTTGTTTTTAATGGAGACTGGCAGACTTCTGTGAGCTCTCTGATAGCTCTTTCCTTTTGAACGGCCCATTGAATCGATCATACTGAAACCTGCTGCTCAGAGATGAAGAAAAAATAAGTAGTTATTTCTCGAGCAACCAAAATCTGACAAAACAGGCATCTAAAATGGGCTTTAATGAGTTTAGTGCCTGGATCAATTGGAGTAAAAGTAACCTTAATTCTCTCACCAAATCCAGTACTGATTCACTTCTTGCATTATTTTCTATCCTTTAGCCTGTTCGGTCCATGGTGTGGTCCTGAGGATTGGAAGAAAAAAACAGCAGGACAAATCACTTGCTTTCCTATACTAGGGGGTATCAGGAGGCTTTAGAAATGGTCCATTTAGAGTTGTGGAGATACTTGCTTTTGATGAATGAAGCCAAATCTAGAGCTTAGGGAATTTTATACCCAGCGCAATGCTTACATTTGCCTGACCCATGTTTTTTGTTCCCACTGAAAAGGCCTGAGAGGGTAGCAGGAGGAGCCAGAGATTTGGCTTAAGTATTTGTTGCTGGAAGGGGGACTTAAACCAAAGTTTTGGTTTCTGAAGCAAGCCCACGCAGCATGATCAGGATCACTTCTGTATAAGAGTGTGTGGTTTTGTGTTTTAACAGTCCGAATAGACTTCCTTAGAAAATGCAAGCAAGCTGGGCTTCTGGATGACATATTTGAAGAAATGCTGGACACGCTTCACCTGGCGCAGGAAAAACTGATGGATGACAACACTTCAGAAACAGGTAAGGAGAACCGTGGGGGCAATCCACTTCCAGAGCAGAAATGCTGATCTGAATGCCACACACTTGCCCCCTGGATCACCTTCCAGAAGATACTTCTGTAGTGCTAAATAACTGGGTCCTGCCTTATTTCTGCAGCTGCACAGCAGGTGGAGAGTGAGTATTTTTTGGTATACCCATGTCAGCAGAGGGGAAGAGCTGCTAACTCAGCATGCTCTAGTAAGGCCTTCTAACTTTGAATTTTTGAAGCCAGCTTTTTACCTGTTGGCATAAGCCATAGGTAGGTTCAGCCTGACCTCTTCTCCCAGGCACTGAAGAAGAGAGAGGTCCTGAAGAGAACTGAAGGTTTTATTCGGATCCTAAGTCTGTGTTGTTCTTACAGCTTCACAGAGGGACCAGCTATCTGTTAATATCGGCACTCTCTTTGAGGGAAAAATCCCTAAGTATGTACCTTTTAAGTGTTTGGATGATTAGTTAGAACTTTATTGTTGACTGTTAGTGTGTATTTGAGGGTTTCATCGGTTTAAGTATCAGCTTGTATGAAGCACTTTGTTCTTGGAAGATTCCACTCTCATGTTGCTTTGTCCACAGCGCAGTGAAAAAAGAATCAAACCTTCCTCTATTGTCTTCACAGCTTTACAAAGTTATGAATAATACCCCTGGATAAAGAATGCTAATTTATGCAAAGTAACTGAAGCATGTGCACGGAAAGGGAAATGTCCCACCTGCCTAAATCTTCCTCAGCTTGTGTGTAATATGACAGCAGCTGCAAGAAGCAGTAATGAAGTCCAGGTTGCATTAGAGGTTCAAAGGTTTTCACCATTAAGCAAACCTCTGAACGGCCATGCAAACTCTGTAGGTGTTTTGTATTTTGTTTCACTGGAGGCCTCAGTTATGAAACGGAGGCACAATTCTGGGCTGGTTTTTAACATCGAACAGTGATAACCTGTCCCACATGTCACATGATTTGTCAAGAGAAATTGGTATGGTCAGCCCTGCCGTTATCTACACAGTCCTTGTGTGATGGAATGAAATATGACTTAAGTATATCGCTCATTTTTAAGCGGACTGTTCATGTGGTGCAGACCTCAAAAGGGAATTACAGGTAGGTCCACTTTCCTGTTTTCTGTATGTAGCTCTACAACAGCTCTCTTGCCCCAGCTATGACTGAGGAGATTTAATAAGGCAAAGCTAATGATAAATACAAAACATGCAATTAAATCTCATTACATGAATTCATTCTGGGGGGAAAAAAAAAAAAAAAAAAGTAGAATTGACAAACCGATCCTTCTTTCTCAATATAGATTATATGAGAAGGAAGATGTCTTAAAACCTCAGGCAATCAGTATGATATAAAATAAGTAATTACTCTTTTGTGCTACTTCTAATGCAGTGCTCTGCATTAACGCGAGGGTTCTATAAATGTTTACTCAGTAATATTAAATCAAATTATCTTCTTCCCCAGAGTATGAAGAGACAGTGATGTCACTCTTTGACTGTGGACTGTTTGAAAATATACTGACAAATATTCATTCAGGTACGTGAAAAAGGCTGTCAGAGCAGTAGCAGTTGGTATGGTTTTTGGCATTGAGGTTATTCTTCTGAGCATTTTCATAAAATGACCATTTAAGATGAAAATTCGGAGGAACTTTTTTCTCAACATTATATAAATAATTGAATAAAAGCCATTGCTACCTGAATCTTTAGAAATACAGTATGTCAAATCTGGCTGGCTGACCTGAAGGAGGAGGCAAGTGACAGTTCCACAGTTTTAAAAGACCAAAGGGTCTCCTCCCCAGAGGAACCTCCTTCTCCTGCAGGGTGCACTCGTGTCCTGTTTCTGCAGGTCATTTCCCTTCCTTCTCCACAGCTTCCTGCGTTACAGCTCTGCTCCTTTCCGATGAATGCTGTTCAGAATGGCTGTTGTGTTTCAGTTAAGAGCGCTAAACACTATGAGCAGAACTGACCTGGACCTGCTGGCAATTGTAACATGCTTTGAAAAACAAACTGAGAATGCTCAGAGTGAAATAAAAAAAACAAGGGCAGAAGCAGGTGCTTGGGGCCACCGTTGTGGAAGGAAACTCTGGGGCTTGGACTCCAGTCTCGGCTATTGTAAGCAACAAGGTTAAAACTTTTTCAGATAGGCAAGTCACTCGCTCCCATTTCCCTCTCTAACAGCAGCCTTGTTCTGCTGTATCCCCGTGGAAAGGAAAATGGGTTTTAATTAGCTAACGCTGAGATTCAGTGCGTGACAGTGATGTTTGCTAATGTTTGTTGTTTCCCCTTCACTTGACTGAAAAAGCCAAGCTCCTCTCTTCAGTCTCCTGTTCTCGCATTTAAATTTTTGTTTTGGAAATGGGAGTGACTGGTGTTGCAGAGTTATCCGGCACAGGGTTCCACCAGTGCCTCATCTGAGGGCTTTAAAACATTTCTGCTCAAAACTCTTCATGTGACATAACCTTGGATCACACTTGTTTCTTTCACAGCTGCATCAATTATTTTATCGTCTTCTCAGCTTACATGAGGAATTCTTGATGTTGGTGCCTACGTGCACACAACCACATGATTCTCACTTGTAAAAGTCATCCCCTTTCCAGTTCCCCACTACTCGAGCAGCTCAGTTCTTCCTGTACCACACAATCTTCTTTTCTGACACCGTCAGCCTACGTTTCATTTCAAGGTCAATAATGCAAACATGCATCAAAGTTGGTTCTAAAACTGATCCAAGAGGAGCTGTTAAAATGAACCAGTGAGAAAGGAGTGAAAACAATGTTAGCTACAGGTGAAACTGTAGGGAGAGAAGGAAATCATCAGCTTTGGTTTTCTGTGTTTGTTTTTTTTTTGTTTGGGTTTTTTTTTTGTTGTTTGTTTGGTATTTTGTTTGTTTGTTTTTTGTCCTGATCTGTCTTCCAAGCTCTAGGGAGCCAGTCTCTGTGATGACATACAAAGTTTAGGAATAAGTAAAGTAGGACTAGTATGAATACTGTGTCTTCTTTGATCTTTCTCTTGGAACTGATGATTTTGGGTCATCTGACATACTTTGCCTTCAATCCATTTTTTCCTCATTTTATTTCACTTCTTGGATCATCGTGCAAAACCTGTTCTGAAGGCTTACGCGTCAGCACAGCAAGGGTACTCTGAACTCTTAATTGTTGATACTGCTTTTTTTAAATCCCTTTTACATATAGGGATAAACGGTTCTTTTGCAGCATGCATCTTTCCTGCAGACTTGACTGCATTTAAAACTTTTCATATGGGACCTGCTATCGTCTCAGCAGTAATTTCAGATTTCTAGGTTGGAGGTTCTTGTTCTCTCCTCCGAGGAAAAGTGACTTCCTTTAGTTTTGCTTTCTGTTCTATTTTGCCAGAAGCAGGAACATTAAATGCTCATGAGTTATGTCTTTGGGAATCTAGCTGTTGAATGCAGTTGTCCAAACCATCTCTTTTAAAGTTTAATTTTGTTGTTCTTGTTGTTGGCCAAAGTCTATTAGGCTTGTAAATTTGCTTTAAGTGTGTAATTCAGAGATGTTATCTTTAAAGATTTAAAGATATTTATTGGCAGAGTCCCCGTAAAATGGATTCTGAAAACGGAACTGTTAAAGCTCATATGCCAAATAGCATTGGGTTAGTAACTAAGCTAATAATTTTTAGATTTGCTGTGGTGGTTTAAACTAAATCTGTAATGTAGCTAGTTTTGAGATCAGAGTATATAGCTGACAGAAGTACGTAACTCTACTGCTTTGTGTTTTCTTTTGACTCCTGGATACTTCGGTCTTTATGAAGAGACCAAGCGTACAGGGTGTCAGGCTAAAGTCTTCGCTTCAGAAAAGCAAAGGTTTTATTGTAGGTTAAACCTTGTATTTAAATTAATGATAGTTACATATGAATAAAAGCTTTTATCCTTTTCTTTTTCCTCATAGCAACAGAGGAGAAGATCCAGGAACTTCTGGAAAGCAGAAAAAGACTGGATAACAAGATTGAGCTACTGCAGGACTTAAAAGAAGTCGTCCTTCCTACCCAAGAGAACAGCGCTAGTACATCTAGTACAGTGTCTGACTAACCCTTAAGTCTGTCTGTAATGGTGTCAATATTTAGGATTTTCTAATGATAGAAATCATAGAGCACGTCTGGTCAGTGTCTTAAGTAATTCCCTCCCCTCCCTCGCAAGACAGGGACACAAGCAGGACCTGTGTGTTTTACTCGTTTTTATACCTCACTGTTGCAATAATTTTAAGTTGTCCCTTTCTTTAAATTTTACCGTGGATCAATGAGGGTTATACACCAAATTTAGCTTTTTTTTAAAGCTCAACAAAACCCTCCAATGAAGACTTTTTTTTTCTCAAAGACAAGGGAGCATGCGCTGCCACAGAACTCTTGTTAAAGTCACTTTACCTGTGGGAGCCATCTTCTATGTGCGGTAGCTGCTTCACTGGCTGCATCCCAGACAGTGATGTTCTAAGGATCATGTTGCTGCTTTGGCTTTCCAAAGAATATAAATTAGCAGAACTTGCACTCAAAGAAGCCTTCTGAATTATAAACAGGAGTTTGGGTTTTTTAATTAAATCATTTTGGCTTGACTGCTTAATGAATAACTAGTTCTGCTGTAATGGCAGTGGTGAAACAGTGTTTGCAGGCAGACCAGAAACAGTTGGGCATCGTGTTCTAAACAACGTGTAAAATGGATCAAACAATGAACTGTATCTTCCTTTCGCCATTAAGAAAGGATATGACTTCCACGTGTTTTGTCTTTAAAAAAAAAATGTTTGAATACATTGTTTAGCTACAAAAGGGTAAGTTAAGGAAATAAAATGTTTTTCAGAAAGCTGTGTATTGAGTCACGCTCACTGGCCCCACTGTTGCACGGGCCGTGTCAGACTGTAGTTTCACTGTGCCTTGCCTTGTGGCAGCAAACGGAGCTGGACCAGAGTGACCCACCGGCCATCAAGTCAGACACCACTTGTCATAACAGGCTGCAGCATCAGCCATGGAGAGAGCTGTACTCTCTCCCGGACTAGTCAAAACTTGTAACTTGAGCTGGTTCTGTAGGAAGGTGGAGGTCAATCAGCACAGAAGAACAACATTCAAAACATAAACTTTTGGGGTAGAAATATTAGCCACGTCTGATAGAACAAAATACTAATATTTTTACTTGCTTATACAGTTGAGGCCTGCTGGGTGGCTGGGACGAGAAACACAACCGGTTTACTGCCTGAGCCAAGGGCTCAAACACTGCTCACAGCTACTCTGCCTAGAAAACTCCCACCTAAAACAGAAGTGTATTAACATGGAGCATGGATTTATCTGCTACTCGGGAACAAAGAAAGATGCAGATCCACTGTCATGGAAAAGACATAAAAACTCACGTGAGCTTGTTTTCCCTGTAGCAGCGATCTGAATTACTGACAGCAGCTGAAAGGACAACTCCCGTACTCTTCCAATCCACCCCCCACCAAGCTCGACCTTTAGTCTAGTGTTTGCCATCCAAAACAAGTTGTTTATTAGAAACATCTATGACACATTTGGAAGCATTTTGTCAGACTATCCTAGACTGACCTCCCAATGTCATGCTACAGAAGCTCCCTGGATTCTATCAACAATACAGAGTTCCAGGTTTTGCAAAACTTAGCAAAGCCGTAACACCAATATTAGACCTGTAGTCCCAAAATTAGACCTGTAGTCAACCTGAACTTCAAATCTGAGATTCCAGGTTCTCTGTTCTACCCTGTATTTGGGTGAGGCTCCAACACCTTAAAAGCACACAATAAAAATAGGTGTGTATGTCCACGCATGCCTGCTGTAAGGTAACCATCACATACGGACTTACTAGTGAAAGAAAAAAAATAAATCGGATCCATAGATTGTAATCCCTGAGGTCTATATTAGTGCCTGCAAATAAAATTGCTGTTTCCTGAAATTGGGATCACGGGTATTTGTCAAGCGCAGTGAAATCAGTAAGATTCAGTAAATATACAGTCTGTGAGGTGGGTTTGGCTTTGTTTTTTTGGTGTGTTTTTTTTTTTAATGAAGCAACTTATATGCTGTATGTAACACAAAAAGCTTACGATTTTCTTCAAAGTCTAAAGAAGTTTACCAGCTTACCAAAGTCTAAAGAAGTGAACAGCTCCAAAAAAGTGAATTTTAATACAGGTAGTTTAAATTTATACACCACTTACTTACATGCAAAACCCCCACTTTCAGAACACTGTATCCCTTCCCCTCTGTGGCAGTGTGAGCAAATATGCAAATATGACTATCTTTTTAAATAGTGAGTGCCCCAAGGCCCAGTGGGCTCTCCTGCAGGGCAGTGGGCTGCACACCAGGATCTCCTCTTGAGTAGAGACACCTCTCAAGGCTACATCGAGGTTGAGAGAATCCTTATCGCATCAGATACTCGGTAAGTGAATTGGGAATAAGCACTCTGAAACTTTGAAATCTTAGCTAAGTGATATAAAGGATGGATTGCACATATATAATCACAGAATGGTCAGGGTTGGAAGGGACCTCTGGATACCATCTAGTCCAACCCCCCTGACAGAGCAGGGTCACCTACAGCAAGTTGCACAGGACGGCATCCAAGAGGGGTTTTGAATGTCTCCAGTATAGGAGACTCCACAGCCTCTCTGGGCAGCCTGTGCCAGTGCTCTGCCA